TTTCTGAACTCATTTCTAGTTCCTAATGGATTTTTTTGTCGTTGGTGGTAATTTCAGCTGGTCAGTTTTCTAGAGGGCAGTATATGTATATTGAGCCAGCTTTTAAAAGTTGCAGCTCTTTCTACTACAACTATCCACAGTAGCCTAGGAAATTTAACATGGGAGGAATTGGTTGACTTTTTGCAATTGTCTTCAGGAAAGAAACAGCTGCCACTTTGTAATTGCTTTTTTATGATACAAAAAAATACAGTAGACTTTTAAGATGGACATAGTTTTGGGGAAAGCAAGGTCCCATAAGTGAATTTAGAGAGATCCTTCCACTTCTTTGGTCAAGTCTTGTCTTAAATAATATCACCATTATTTGATGATCTTGCAAAGAGATCTTTCAGATACAGTTTTTTGGCAAAGACTGAAATAACAGTGATTCTGCTTTAAGAGATAAGCATTCTAGTTTGTTTTTCACTTTCAGGAGGTCTGACTGAGCTTAAGAAGAATGTGACTGTAGACCCAAAATATACCTACTCTAATCCAGTACTTACATTCTAGTGCTAATTCAGTTTGCGTCATTGCTTTGTGTCACCTCAATCCAGAGGTAAGATTTTAAGACTTTGTGTTTCAGACCAGGAGAGACCTCCTGATTGAAAAGATTCCTCTTTTCAATGGGGAATGGGAATGGTGAAGCCTTAGTGGTAGGACAACTCCTCAAGTCTTTCACGGTAAAGCTCAAGGAATTACCAGAGGAGCCAGATCTAAACTGGACTTGAAAATTGCTTTTTTGTTTGTTTGTTTAATTTTCTGACTTTCCTACTATAAGATGAGAGGTGAACTCTTAACCTCTCATTCCCTCATTGGGCATGATGAAACCTTAAACAGCATTGGAGAAGAAAGCTATTTGTGTCTCCTCAAAAGAATATTAACCTGAGGTGGTGTTTCAGTGTCTTTCAAAGTGAGGAGGGACTGCCCGTATCCCATTGTGATTATTTATTTTGGTTTATAGATGTTGTCTCTATTCATAAACCTCCAGGCAAATATTTTAGAAAACTAATGTCTCAGAATGACTTATTGGGGCCTAAGGAAATATGTGGAGACTTATGAGCCTATAAAACATTTTTGGAGGAAATGTGAGTTTTCCAGAGGGCTAAGACTTAATATTTTAAAAGAGTTTATTAGCTGTGAGAATGAATAGAAATATCGGTAAGTTTCTCTGCCAACAGTCCTCCCATCTTTTGTATATCTTTTGGTTTGTCCAATTAGAGTGGGTTGTCACACTTACGCTGTTTAAGTAACGATCCTATTGGACAGGTCAGACAGTGAAAAATAAGTTTTGTGGAACTTGTGTCAAGTGATAGACAACAAATTCTATGCATTTTTTTGTTTTTTAACTGAGTACCATCACCAGGTATTCTTTCCATAGCAGACTTTCCTGCACCATAAATGTATCAAGTCCTGGAGTTTAAAAAATATTCTAATATTTTATTGATGGCAATGTCTGTGGCTGCCTGGAACAGGATTTGTCCAACTCAGGGACCCACGTGGCTTTGGGTCAAAGGGCTGTGACTGAAGCTTGATTTGCTTCAAAAGAAATGAAGCTTTCTTCATAGTGTTGGTATCCACTGACAAACTCTATCGAAGGTCCATTTGAGCAAACCTGCAATGGCTGTCAGGTTGAGTTTTATCTGTTTTTTGGTTTGGTTTGCTTTTGTACTAGAAGTGGAACCCAGGGCTTTCACACTGACCTACATTCCCAGTACTTTCTAAATTTTTTTATTTTCATTTTGAAACAGGTTGTTACTAAGTCACTGAGTTGCCTAGGGTGGGCTCACATTTGCAGTTCATCTTCTACCAGCCTGATGCTCCTAGAGTGCTAGGAATACAGGCATCTGCTACTAGCTATGTTGAGTAGTTTTGTTTTGCTTTGTTTTGTTGTGTTGTGTTATGTTGGTTTGGGTTGTGTTATGTTTGTCAGTTTGTCAGTGGATACCAACACTATGAAGAAAGCTTCATTTCTTTTGAAGCAAATCAAGCTTCAGTTATGTTATGGTTTGGTTATGTTCAGTTTGGTTTGGTACGGTTCGGTTCAGTTCAGTTTGGTTTGGTTTGGTTTGATTTTTTCTGCTTGTTTTTAAATTTTTTAAAATTTTGTGACAGGGTCTTATTAAACGGCTAAATTGCTTAGACTGGACTCAAAAATGTAATCCTTCTGTCTCCCTCTCCTAGAGTGCCGGGATTACAGGCCTGTGCTTAAGAAGTGCAGATTTTTGGCTTCTGGAGAGACTTAAAATCAGCCGAGGAAGGAAGCTGGGGGTTTTAATAAGTAAGACTGTTACTGAAGTGTTTTGAAATGGTTGTTGAAAAACTTCACAGAAACCGTAGCCACTGAACAAGTTAATACCATTGTCTTTAACCTGTTGCCCTGCCTATTGTAAACCTTCTGAGACTCACCTATGTGAAAATGTACGTAGGGGACAGTTGTCCTGGGCCTGCCGCTGTGCCAGCCACGTGGAAGAATCAAGTGGTTAATAGTCTATTTGCAAAAAAGGTACATGATAAATATGTGCAAGTGCACATTTATATAGTGGCATACGTGTACATACCATAGAAAGACACCTTTTCGTTAAACAAGTAGGATCATTCGAATTTATAATCCAGTGATGCTTTCTTTAGTGATAACTCCAATCCACAGTGACTCAGTTGCAGTACTTTAAGCAGGCGTTTGCATAAAAGACAGTTCTTGGAATAGTGGGAAAAATTCCATACACAATTAAAGGTTCAAAGTTTTGTATTCAAATGTGACCTCAAGTAAACATCATGTGGTAGTTACTTTAATTACAGGGAAAAATAAAATTATTGGTTAGGATTAAACCCATTTTACATTCATTCACTCATGTTTAATAATTACACCTCATTTTTGTTTGTATGTATAGTTATAGGCCATATAGGTAATAAAACAAATAATAACTGCCTTAGATTTTAGACTGTTCGGTTAATGCCATCTGTCACTTTCTGTGGGACAAGAAGGGAAGGTCAGGGAGAAAGGACCTTATTTGACAGTTATCATGTGGTTACTCCATTTAAACTTCATTTCACCAGAATGCTTAGCAGCGAGGAATCTTCAAGTTAACTAGGGATAAATCACAACCTATTTTTGCTTGCCTATTTGTCTAATATTTTCTTTGTTTTCTGAAATGTGATTATACCATAAAATTTTATTTAAGATATAAACAGATTATTTTGTTCTTTTGGCCACACCTTTATCATTATAACATTGCTTCTCACCCGGTAACTTCTCAGTGTAGATTATAAGACTGTGGGAGCCTTTGTTGAAGTCGGTTGCGCCTCTCCCTGCAGAGGCATAGATGTTAGGAGCTAGAAAGGAATCACAGGTTATCTGGGTTAGGTTGTTTTGGTGCTGGAGAAAGTTTGGCTTCATGACATTAAGGACTGACAGCTGTTACAGTAATGGCCAATGGTAAGTGCTCAAAGCATCTTCCTGCTAGTAGAAGAAGTTGAGCCCAAGTCGTTGGAATTTTAGTTTGGCATTTCTTCCCAAGTGTTGAAGAAAGTCTGCTTCTTAATTCATTCTATAGCCCCTAGTTGGATGCTGTGTAAGCATATCCCCCACGCTGTTTCTTTTCGGTCCTAATTCTTGATTTATTCTGTTTTTTCTTATACTCTAGCTCTTCCCACCCTCCCCCCCCCCCCAGAGAAGTGGAGAAGACAGTAAGTTCAGAGAAATGGAGGGTTACACTTTTTACAGCTTTCATTGTCTCCATCCGGGCCCCCTGGAGGTTTCCAGGCACCTTTTGTGAAATGTATGCCCAGCGTAATTCTGATTTTTACTTCCGTTCTACTCAAAGACACAGCCAACCTTATGCTGATGGAGGCGTTGCTGTTTCTTCATGACAAGACTTTATACATTTCTGACAACTTCAAAAGCATGGAATAAAAGCCTTGTGGGTAAAATGAGGACAGAAGTAAAGAAATTTGGGGGAAACAGTAGAAACGTGTGCCAGAGATTGTGGCAACGTTTAGAGGACTAAAAGTTTCTTTTTTTCTTGTCTTTCTTTTTAAGTCAAAGCAAAAGGGGTTAAAACATACCAGGCAGAGTTCGCTCCTAACAGTGAGCATGTTTGTTGGGTACCCTTAAAAATGTGAAAGCTGGGACAAAATTCATTACCATAGTAATTTCTGTTTCCTTGAGCCTCCAGACACACGATTGTAGGGAGAGGAATACTGGTAAATAAAAGGGCGAAGCACTGGAAAGATACGACTCTCCATACTCCTTCCTGTTAGTCCTCCCACAGTTCCACCGGAGAGGCCACACAGAGGCCCTGAGTCCGCTCAACACTAGAGCATTTGGTTGCCCAATCTGAACGGGACTGTTTGGATGATTTGAGAGCTTTTGTCAAGTTGAATCGCTACCCACCCCGCCCCAGTGCGCTGTAAATTTACAGAATCTGGCCATTGACTTTTCTTCCTGTCTTGTCTTCAAATGCAGTTTGATAAAGTTTTGACTTTTGAAAGCTCATATAGGGCCCAAAGAGTATTGGCTATGTGCTTCCAGCTCATAACTGATCTCTAAATCTTCCAAAAATTTTTTAATAGCTCATAGAGACTATTTTTAAGTTTTACATATATTATATATGTGTCTGATATATTTTTCCTGCTACTAGCAATTGGATTCTATCCCCTATTCCTAGAAAACAACAAATACACCTTGAAGCAGAGTAAATGAGATGATAATAACTGTATCCTTTTACTTCCATTTCCTTTTGCCTTTAGGCTGTGTGCGTATGTGCAAGTTGATTCTCCCCCTTTTGGCGTGATTATTTATTTTCATTTCTTGATTGTTTCCCTGAAACCTTTTGCTTTTATTTTTACTGGAGTCTTATAGTCTGTTTGTGTGTTTAAAATGGACTTACTTTATTATAAGAAGGAATAGCACTATCTATGGAATCATGTCTGACTTGCTTCGTTCTGATCAACTTTTCTCTTTTCAGAGGATGTCAAGCAGGTGTTCGAACAGACCACGATTCATCAGCATATTCCGTTTAACTGGGATTCAGAGTTTGTACAGCTACATTTTGGAAAAGAAAGAAAAAGGCACCTGACCTACTCAGAATTCACTCAGTTTCTGCTGGTGAGTATAGCGCTGAAAAGTTAGAGTGGATGGTTAAGTAAACACGTGGGATCAGACTGTATGTAAAGAGGAGACTTCAAGTTGAGCCTTGAGCTGTAATTTACTGCAAACTCTGTAACACTGGCAAGAATTACTCCGCTTAGAAGTATTTCTCTTAGCCTGTTGAAACCGTAAAATTAAACAGGATCTTAAAAGATTTTGTAGAACTTCTTCCTGTGTGAAAGGAATACACGTTGAGGCCCCACAACATCACGTGGTTTCCTCAAGGTCACATGGCTCAGGAGGGGCAAAATTGAAGCGTGAACTTAGGACTTACGACTGGCCCCGCTGTGTACAGCACTGAGCTTTTGTTTTTTGCTGAGAAACGAGCAGTGCCAGCCGTGACTGCACCATAGAACTGTTTTACCCAAGGCCTTTTAGAGATGGTCAGCGTGTCAAAATTTAGATGTACTGGGGTCCCCTGGGGAGCTTTGAAAACTGTCGTTGACTTGGTTGCGCCTCCACAGTTGGATTTAGTGGGGCTGGGTAGAGCCTGAGCACATGGACATTTGAAGTGTCTCAGGTGGCCGTAATGTGCAGCCTGCTTTGGAACACCTGTGTCCCGTGAGCATCTCTGAAGGAGTTGTCTAAATTCCTGGTGTGCACCTTCCCAAGTTCACTTTCCCCTGTCTGTCTGCACCTTTCTTTCACTGAGATCATATGATTAGAGCACTGATAATGCAAGCAGAAGATAATATTTATGATTCGTTTAGTTTTTCTCCTGAAGCATTATTTTAAAAAGTGTTTTAATTGCTGTGTGAGCCTTTAGTCACATTTGTTACTGTTTATAAATGATACATAATATTTGTCATTTTTTTTTTTTTTGCTTTTATGTTTGGAAACTTAAAACAAGACACCCTAAACCTGCTTTTGCATTTTCTTTTTAAAACGTGAATTTCTGTGAATTCCTGTTGTCCGTTTTATAAACACACGTGTTTTTTAGGTGGCGAGCAAAACGTTAAGCTGTTGGATTTTTTGTTGCTGTCTGCCCAGGACGTTGGCACGCTGTAGGAGGCGGTATTCATTCTGATGAGGAATAATTACAATAATGCTATTGAGACAAATGCCTCAAATTGACTTCATGGAATACAGCCTAATTAACTTTAGTCTTAATGGGATGTTAGCAATAGTAAGGATGATCGCATTTCCCCCTTTAAGCAAGTATCAATTATGCTGAATTGAGTCGATTGTAAACCACTCACAGCAGCTCGTAGGCCTTCCTAAAGATTCGGGGAAGCCAGAGTCAAGGATTAGAAGACTTCGGGATTACTGGTTCTGTTCCCAGCTGCAGCTTGTAGGGCATCCATTTAAACTTGTCTCCTTCGGTGATGACAGATGGAATCGTCACAGAGTCCTGCATGGGATGATGATTTTGACTTTGAATCCGGAATGGAAGCATTAAACTTTTACTAGCTTAAAATGGCTTTGGTGGTTAATATCTTGGCCAGGGCCTTTTGAGCCCCAATCCAGACCTAGACTTAGGGAAGTGGTAAACACATCACCATAGGTTTATGTGACTGCCTGTGAATACCACTTACGATGTCTGTCCTTGGGTCACTTCCTTGTGTTTCACCTGTTGTGTTTATTTCCTTTGAACTCCTTTCTGAATGCAGATAGAGCTTCAGACCTCTACTTCAGATGCTCGTTTGCTTCCTTAGAGCTCTTTTCTGGATGCACACAGCTTCTGAAAGATATGAGCAAATTTAATCTCCGCTTTGTGAGGCATGCACGCTCCACCGCCTTTCTGCTCTAGGGCAGGGATCAGACACACAGGCCCCAGCTTCCTGGCTGGCGCCAAGGTTGTAAAAGCAGATTCGTAGCTATTTGAACTGGGAAAGAGCTACACTGTGCGTGCTGTTACCTGTCACTGAGGAGGAAGAGGAGCCGCTGTGGGGATCACTCAGAAGTGCTGATGGTTTCTGGGTGCCTGAGTGTGAGAGCAGCTGAGGCTGGTTCCAGCCAGCATGCGTGTCACCATGCTTGTGTGTGCGCATACGTTTGTGATTCGTGGGCAGCATCGTTCCTTGCAAGTTCTAATTTTTCTCTGTTCAATAAATGTTTTCCTGTATCTAATAGGAGTGTATTATAAACCACCCTGCACCTGTGAGGATCTTACTTGGTTTACCTGTTCATCTTTGTATGACCTGGATAAGGTCCCCACCCACCAAGGTTATGGCAGTCATGGGCATTGCTTACTTGATGAGCTGGTGTGTCTTTTTTCTGTACTTTGTTTACAAATTTCGTAAAGTTGTAAATCAATTTGCTATTCATTGAGCTAAAATTGCCTTATTGTGTATACAACCAATAGTGCTTAAGCATGTAACAAGGTCACAAAGCCTCTGTTCTGCAGTCGTGTTCCTCAGTGTGTGAAAGGACTCCTAAGGGCGCAGGGCCGCTTTTCTGTTGTCCCTTCACGTATATTGCTTCATCTGCTGTGGTGTTCTATGCCTGATTCTTTCACTCTAGACAGTGAATGATGTGAGAATGTAAATAGTTATATTAATGTGAAGGTTTTTTTTAAATGTATATGTACTTTCAATGGTTTTTGTTTGTTTGTCTTTGCAGTAAGGATTGAACCAGGGAGTTCACACTGAGCTAGAGCCCCAGCCCTTTATTAAATTTTTAAAATTTTTATGTTAAGTCAGGGTTTCACTAAGTTGCTAGACTGCCCAAGTGAGGCTCAGACTTTTGATCCTCCTGCCTTGGCCTCTCAGAGGCACCCTACCCCTGCCAAGTTTTAAAACGTTTTGTAAACTTTTCCATGTACCTTTCCTCTCATCTTCTAGAATAAAACTCTTAATTTGGGGGTTACTAGTTTTAAAATGGATTTTGATACACTAAGAGTGGTAGAAAACAGTGTGGAGAAATTTTTCTCTTCTGTACATGGTGGAACTTCAGTTCACAGGTGATATTAACTATAACTCTCTCCCCTATGTGGAAGTATTTTTTGTTCCATAATTATTACTTGTGAGACAAAACATTCATTTCAGCATATGTTCTTGAGCATGCAGTGTTTGTCAGGAAGCCTTGTGCAGAGGACTGCGAGGTGCAGAAAGGGCAGTTCTTGAAATGCTTCTGATGTACAGGCAGCCTTGGGGATTGATCCTGTTTATATCCATCTGATAGAGCAAAAGGAGAAGAAATTGCGTGCAGGCGTACAAGACGTAGTCTATGAGTTTGCATTTTTTAGCAAAATTTGTAAGGGTTTGTAGCATAAACCCTAAAAGGGATATAAAGCAGCAACCATCCAAAATACAAACTTGAAGAGCCAGGTACAAGCATGAGGTCATCTAGCTACCTGTCCCATTTTACAGTTAAGACAGACTTTTCTTATTAGCGCTTTTTAGTGTTACCTTATTTGTGATCTTACTTGCATTTCTCTGCTAAGTAAAGATGTTTAACATCTTCTCAAATGTCCTTTGGCCGCTTACACAGCTTCTTTGGAGAAATATCTGTTTCTTTGCCCATTCTTTTTTAATTGAATGGATGCCACAGGGCACTTTGAAGCACAGAGTGAAAGGTCTCTTAAACATTTTTTTGCCAAGTTATCCTATTACGTCAGTCCTGAGACACTTTTTAAAAAGATGTAATAGTAATAACTGTATCTTTCTTATCTTTGTAACGTTATATACTTTTTTTAAATACTTTTTTTCTGATAGTAGCACCTTCCAGTACCCCAGATGTGATTATCATTATCTCCTGTTATATGCAAAAGAATAAACAGAATCTAGAGTAAAATTCTACATTTACAGGTAATTTCCTGGTGAAATGGCTGAGAGCTTTTATGAGCTAGCCAAAGAAGTAGTATCCCCACGCGGTAAGGGGCAGCTACTCTAGATCTTGGCTTTTTGCATGAGATCATAGGTGTGAGAACGATTTGAAAATGTAATACTGTTAGTACTGTACTGTACTTTCTCCAGCACCCAGGCTAAGGATAGTTATTTCATGGTCTTTTTTTTTTTTTGGTACCGGGAATTGAACTCACTACCTTGTGCTTGCCAGGCAGGCGCTGTGCCATAGCTCTGGCCCTATTTTATGGTCCTGGAGGGAGGCTATTCTTAAACAGGGGGCACAGACTGTATTGTTGGACACCTGGCATTCCTGATGCGTACCCGTTCATTGCCAGACGCAAGTTACTGTCATTTCCAGTCATACTCCGTACTGTTTTATACTTGGTATATATTTCACATAAAATTATTAAAAATTTGCAAATAATGTGCACACAGGGGATTTCTAATGGCTCCATCCTCAGGCTAGAAAACTAGGATTGCTGCCGAACCCAGTATTCTCATTAACTAGAGCTACACTGCTGTTAGCTGCCTCACGTGTAGTGTTTTCCAGCTTAGAAAGTGCTGTTACTTTTCCTTGTAATTGTCCTTATAATCACCCTCGGTATTAAGCTAAGTAAGGAAGTTACTGTTACTTCTGTGTGAAAGAAACACACATAGAAACTTAGAGAAATTTTCTAGATTTGTTCTAGATCAGACAGGTGGAACAGAAGGTGAATTTAATTTTCCTAAATTATTAGCAGTTTTTTTTCAAATTTTAGTGTAAATTATCCGAGGTGCTTATTTTAATATGCAGAGTTCTAAGCCTCTCAGCTCCCAAGATTCTGATTCAGTATTTCTGGATAGCGCCTATAACACTGCTCTTTCAGTAAATACCCTGAATTGTGGTGTCCCAGACGGTCTAGGAACATTACTCTGAGAAACGTTTGTCTGGACTACATAATCTTAAATGCTTAAAGCATAAACCCAACCCCAGGTCTTTATCCTAAAGCGGCTGAGAAGTCTGTAGAGGCAGACTTGACTGGAATTGTGTTTCAGAAGGCTCACTATGCCTGCTGTGTGGGAAATCAAGTGGAGAAAGACATAACCAAAGAGCGAGAGACCAGCTGATTATTCTCTGCTCTGAAAGCGAAATGGTTTAGGTTGGACGGTCTCAGTGACCAGCCAAAGTAA